GCATTGCACACAATGACTCTCCTAAGAGTCCCAGTGTTTTGACTTAGTTTTACTAGTATAAGATTTTATGTATTCTATACTTCCTTATCTAGGAACCACTCTTAAATGTTATGTAAAACTTATTTCATAACTTCAATAGATTTTTCCTTTCTTGGAGTCCCAGTGTTGGCTCTATTTCATTTTCTAATAATCTCTTCAAATTTCTTTGCAAGTCAAGCATTAATCTGGAACTACCATTGTGAAGTTATTGCATTGTTTTCAAGATGAGAACACACAGCATCCACCTGGGCCATTAGGACTGTGCTGTGCTGTATGCCTCAGTTTTTAATTGTTTAAGAATTATTACATCAGCCAGGCCATGGTGGCACATGCCTTTAATCCCAGCACTTGGGAGGCAGAGGCAGGCAGATTTCTGAGTTCGAGGCCAGCCTGGTCTACAGAGTGAGTTCCAGGACAGCCAGAACTACACAGAGAAACCCTGTCTCGAAAAACCAAAAAAAAAAAAAAAAAAAAAAAAGAATTATTACATCAAGGAACATCTAGTTTCACAGAATTCAGCAGAGCAGAAGGAGAAAGAAGTAAGAAAGTCAGATATAATAGAATAATTATGCACACCAAAGCCAACTGAAAAACAGTCATGCAAAAATGAAATCTATACAGCCATTGTCCATGGCTAAGGTTAGGAGAAATGGGAACAACTGTTTTTTTTTTTTTCCAAAGAGCGGCTGCAGGCTATTGAGATGTCTTCATCCCTGCCCACTGCAGGCAGTCCCTTATTTCTGATGGTGGATCCCCTGGAGGGATGTGTCTCCTGCTTCTCAGGGTCCTAGACACCATCCTCTTTACAAGGAGCTGCTGGGGGCTTCTGAGATGTCTCCATCCTGGCCTACTGCAGGCAGTCCTTGCCATTGTATGCTGTACCCAGCATTAACACATGAGCTAATGCCTGTTTGAAATCCAGATTCTGCCCCAACTTTATTTCTTGCTAACATAACATCATTGAGAACTGCAGCTCACTTCCATATGTCTCTGAAAATGTCCAGAACCAGAATTCCAAATAAAGACTGTTATTTCCAATATTGGATTGGTTTCTAGACCAGTCTATGATTGAGTCTGAATAACTGGTCACATTTAAGAACAATCCAAGAGTCATTATAACTTCTCTTCTTGATTATCTGTTCCACAAGGTCTAAAAACTTGAGGCAAGAAAGCTTATCCCATCAGAAGTATAGATAAGCAATAGTGGGTCAGGAACATATGTCCAATATAGCTTCCGAGTCACCATTGTCAGGGCACTCAGCCAGCTCAGAGGTCAGCATCATTCTTTGTCCTGATATCAGCATGTCTCATCTGTTGTTCTGGTGGCCACCATGCTCCTTCAGCATCCTGCAGAAAACACACACACACATGCCCTCTTCCCCATATTTACTACCTGATCAGGATCATGCCTTATGCCAGTAAGTGGATCCTTCCCTTTCACTTATGCATAAGTATGCCTAGTTGTAGAGTGCAATAGACACTCAGCAAAAAGTTTCTTGGCATCCAAATTTAAAATAAATAAATAAGTAAATAAATAAATAAATAGAACATGATTTAAATAAACTTGTGGTGTATGGGTATATATCTCCCCCTTTTTATATTATGAGGATATTGTTTTAAAGTTCCATGGGCCCCTTACACATTCTCTTGTCCTTGACAATTATAAGGAACCCTGGTAATATGGGTAATGTTAAATTGCTGCTAAAAAGTCTCAAATGTTCGACTGCTATAGCCAGTTTCATTATCTGTTTTTGTTTGTTTGTTTGTTTGTTTTTAATTATTGGATACTATACTTATTTACTGCTCAGATGTTATCCCCTTTCCCCATTCTCACACCCAGAAACCTCTTAGCCCATCCTCCCTTCTCCTATTTCTATGAGGGTGTGTCCCCACCCATCCACCCATTCCCAACTCCTTGCCCTAGAATTCCCCCTCTCTGGGGCATCCAGCCTTCAAGGGACTAAGGCCTTCCTCTCGCACTGATACCTGACAAGTCCATTCTCCTCTACATATACAGCTGGAGACATGGGTCCCTCCACGTGTGTTCTCAGGCTAGCTGTTTAGACACTGGGAGCTCTGGTTGATTGGTATTGTTGCTCTCCCCATGGTGCCGCAAGCCCATTCAACTCTTTCAGTCTTAGCTCTAACTCCTCCACTGGGGACCCTGTGATCAGTTTGATGGTTAGCTGTGAGCATCTGCCTCTGTATGTCAGGCTCTGGAAGTGCCTCTCAGGAGACAGCTATAACAGTCCTGTCAGTGCATTTGGTGATTGTATCTGGGAGGGATCTCAAGGTGGGGAAGTCTCTGGATGGTCCCTTCTCCAGTTTCTGCCCCACACATTGTCTCATATTTGCTCCTGTGAGTATTTTGTTACTCCTTCTAAGAAGGACTGAAACACCCACACTTTGGATTTTCTTTTTCTTGAGCTTCATGTGGTCTGTGAGTTATGTCTTGGGTATTGTGAGATTTTGGGCTAATATCCACTTATCAGTGAGTGCATACCATGTATGTTCTTTTGTGATTGGGTTACCTCACTCAGGATGATATTTTCTAGTCCTATCCATTTGCCGAAGAACTTCATGAATTCATTGTTTTTAACAGCTGAGTAGTATTCCATTGTGTAAATGCACCACATTTTCTGTATCCATTCCTCTGTTGAAGGACATCTGGGTTCTTTCCAGCTTCTAGCTATTATAAATAAGGCTGCTATGAACATAGTGGAGAATACATCCGTATTATATGTTGGAGAATCTTTTGGGTATATGCCCAGGAGTGGTATCACTGGATCCACAGGTAATACTATTTCCAGTTTTCTGAGGAACCGCCAGACTGATTTCCATAGTGGTTGTACCAGCTTGCAATACCACCAACAATGGAGGAGTGTTCCTCTTCCTCCACATCATTGCCAGCATCTGCTGTCTTCTGAGTTTTTAATCTTAGCCATTCTGACTGGTGTGAGGTGGAATCTCAGGGATGTTTTGATTTGCATTTCCCTGATGACTAAGGATGTTGAACATTTCATTAAGTACTTCTCAGATACTCAAGATTTCTCAGTTGAGAATTCTCTGTTTAATTCTGGACCCCATTTTTTAATTTATTTTTTATTGGATATTTTTAACTTATATTTCAAATGTTCTTCCCTTTCCTGGTTCTCTTCCACCTGGAAACCCCTTTTCCTATTCCCCCTCCTCCTGACTCTATGAGGTTGTTCCCCCACCCTCTCACTCGCATCTTCCTGCCCTGACATTCCCTTATACTGGGTCATTGAGCCTTCACAGGATCAAGGGCTCCTCCTCCCTTTGATGCCCGACTCTCAATGTGTACTCCTTGGTACATGATTTAGTCCCTGGGAGCTCTGGGGGAGGGTCTGATTGGTTAATATTACTGTTTTTTCTATGTGGTTGTAAACCCCTTGAGCTCCTTCAGTCCTTTCTCTAACAACTCCTCCATTGGGGACCCCATTGGGAACCTTGTGCTCAGTCCAATGGTTGGCTGCGAGCATCCACCTCTGTATTTGTCAGGCTCTGACAGAGCCTTTCAGGTGACAGCTATATCAGGCTTCTGTCAGCATGCACTTCTTGACATTCACGATAGTGTCTGGGTTTGGTGACTGTATATGAGTTGGATCTCCAGGAGGGGCATTCTTTGAATGGCCTTTCCTTCAGTCTCTGCTCCACACTTCATCTCCATATTTGCTCCCATGAGTATTTTGTTTCCCTTTTTAGAAGGACCAAAGCACCTACACTTTGTTCTTCCTTCTTCTTGAGCTTCATGTGTATGAATTTTATCTTGGGTGTTCTGAGCATTTGGGCTAATATTCAGTTATCAGTGAGTGCATACCATGTGTGTTCATTTGTGACTAGGTTACCTCACTCAGGATGATATTTTTTATTCCATCCATTTGTCTAAGAATTTCATGAATTCATGGTTTTTAATTGCTGAGTAATACTCCACAGTGTAAATATACCACATTTTCTGTACCCATTCTTCTGTTGAAGGACTTCTGGGTTCTTTCCAGCTTCTGTCTATTATAAATAAGTCAGCTATGAACACAGTGGAGCATGTGTCCTTGTTATATGTTGGAGCATCTTCTGTGAATAATGCCCAGGAGTGGTATAGCTGGGTCCTCAGATAGTACTACCATCAAAATTCTAACTCAATTCTTCACAGAGATAGAAAGAACAATTCGCAAATTTATCTGGAATAACAAAAAATATCAGATATAAAAAAAACATTTTCAACAATTTTTTTGTGTCTTTTACCATTCTTTTATTTATTATAGTCAGATTAAATATCACGATAGGATATTGCCTGCCTTTCTTTCTTCTTCCTTCCTTCCTTTCTTTCTTTCTTTCTTTCTTTCTTTCTTTCTTTCTTTCTTTCTTTCCTCCTTTCTTTCCTTTCTTCCTTCCTTCCTTCCTTCCTTCCTTTCTTTCTTTCTTTCTTTCTTTCTTTCTTTCTTTCTTTCTTTCTTTCTTTCTTTCTTTCTTTCTTTCTGTTTTGCTTCTGTCATTTAATTCAATTTCTATGATTTTTGTTTCTCTAGTTAACTGATTTCTCTGTTAACCCCATTATACCATAAAAATGCATTTAAAAATTCATTGTCTTAAATATTTTTCAATTATAAAATGTAGAAACATATAGTAACAGATAAAAAGATTTGTATATACATACATTAGATTTTTATATACATTTTAAACTTTCTGTAGGCACTCTATTTTACATTTATTTCTAGAATCTTTGTAACGTTTTAGTGAAGTATTTTTATCATCACAGATTTAAAAATCTCTGTCAGAATACTGGCACCATAACTTGGTATTTATTAAGTACAACATGTATATTATGAAAATTTCTGGTGTTAATGTTATGAATTATATTCTTTAGAGACCCAGATGGGTTCACTTTGTATCCTCAGAGTCTGGTGTCCTTTACACTCTGTTTTTCTGACTTTTGCTGATAGCACCCCAGAAGGGAAAAGGGGATCTCACATTATTGATAATAGAGGTAGACATGAATTTCTTGGCACCTGAGTGGTAAGGGAATCCTATTGCATCTGGGAGAAGTTGTGAGTCCTAGCTTCCATGTGTTCTCTGCACACAAGCAACTTTTAGGATTACTTAATTACATTGTGCTTACATTTCCTTTTTTCTCCAAAGACAAAGTCTGGAGCTGTTGTCCAATGGACTGGAAGGCATTTGGTTCCCACTGCTACTTCATATCGACCAACCGGGCATCTTGGAATGAGAGTGAGGCAAACTGCTCCCAAATGGGTGCTCATCTGGTAGTGATCCACAGCCAGAAACAGGAGGTGCATCTTGGGAGAGACTGGGGCCTGGGCCTGGGCCTGGGCCTGGGCCTGGGCCTGGCATGTTCTGCCTGTTTCTACTAAGAGGGAGTTTTTTGAAATGGGTGTCAGTGTTGGGGGCAGAAGGTTTTCTACCATATAGGCAGGAATAGTTGCTTCAGCTTATATGTACTACACCTTGATCCTGTTTCAGTGGACCTAAGCAACCCCCAAGGAACCATGACATCAAAACTGTAACATATGAGGGTAGAGGGACGTATGAAATATTTCTGTTTGAAAGAAGTATTTGTGGTTTCTGTACTCTAATGCTTCCTGTAATATCATCTGGCTAACAGAGGAAGGGAAACAGGTCCAAATTGGTAGAGTCATGACCACGAGAAACAAAGTTATCAATGGAGGATAATTAGACGTGTAAAAGTCTGTTATGCACAACTATCAAGAATGGTGTTGGTGAACAAAGAGTTGAGCAAGTCTGAAATGAGATTTATTATGATCATGGACAGAGATTGTTTCTAGAGTTGTGAAAACATGAGTCATGACTTTGTGTCCTGATAATCAGAAAAGTGCACTCCTGGGGGCATGGAGGAGAAGACATGCATTCCTGGGCTGGGGTGGAAAAGATGTGTACTCCTGGAGGCATGTGGAAAGAGGACATGCACTACTGGTGGGGAGAAGATGTGCACTTCTTGGGGAGGGTTCTTCTTTTTTTTAATTTTTAATTTAATTATTTTCTATTTTAAAATATTTTATTAAATTATTTTATTTATTTACATTCCAAATGTTCATCCCTTCCCTATCTCCTACCCTTCCTCCTCCCAAGTTATTCACTCCATCCCCCCTACCATTTGCTTCTGAGAGAGTGTTTCCCCATTCAACTACCCTCCACCACCTCACCCCCACCAGCATCCCTCATCCCTGGGGTATCAAGTTGCTACATATTAGGCACATCCTCTTCCACTGAGGCCAGACAAGGCAATCCTCTGGTATTTATGTGCCAAGAGTCATGGGCCAGCCCATGTATGCTGTTTGGTTAGTGGCTTAGTCTCTGGGAGGTCCCAAAGGTTTGAGGTTGTAATCCTCTTCAGCTCCTTCAATCCTTCACCTAACTCTTCTATAGAGGTCCCTGACCTCAGACCACTGGTTGGCTTTTAGTATTTGCATCTGTCTCAGTCAGCTGCTGATAGGCCTCAGAGGATAACCATGCTAGGCTCCTGTCTGCAAGCATCAGTAATTGTGTCAGGGTTTGGTGCCTGTGTATGGGATGGATCCAAAGTTGGGCTGGTCACTGGATGGCCTTTCCTTCAGTCTCTGCTCCATTTTTGTTCCTGCATTTCATTTAGACAGGAACAATTCCTGGTCAAAAATTTTGGAGAAGGGTGGATGGCCCCATGTTTCATCTGGGGCCATGTCTATCTACTAGAGGTGGTCTCTTCAGGTTCCATCTCTCCACTGTTGGGCAGTTTTGCTAGGTCATCACCATTGAGTCCTGGGAACCTCTCACATCCCAAGTCTCTGGGACTTTCAAGAGGTTCCCCTTCTACTCCCATGATGCACATTTCCCATTCATTCTCTTGGTCCTCTGGGCTTCTCTCCTATTTTTCCTCATACCAAGTCCTGCCAACTTTCCCCTCATTCCCTCTTCTCTCTCACCCAGGTCCATCCCTCCATCTGCCTCTCTTGATTATTTCCTTCACCCTTCTATGTGGGATTGAAGTCTGCAGACTTGGGCCTTCCTTTGTGTTAAGCTTCATAAGGTCTGAGTTGTATCATGGGTATTCTGTACATTTTGGTTAATATCCACTTGTTAGTGAGTAAAAACCGTGCGTGACCTTTTGGGTCTGAGTTACCTCCCTCAGGACGATATATTCTAATTCTATCCATTTGTTTGAAAAATTTATGATGTTCTTATTTTTAATAATTGAATTTCTGTATTCATTCTTTGGTTGAGTCACATCAGGATTGTTTCAAGCTTCTGGCTATTATAAATAAAGCTGCTATGAACACAGTGGAGCATGTGTCATGGAGTGGTGGAAAATCTTTTGGGTATATGTCCAGGAGTGGTATAGCTGGGTCTTCAAATAAAACCATTTCCAATTTCTGAAGAACCTCCAGATTGGTTTCCAGAGTGTTCGCACCAGTTTGCAAGCTCACTAATAATGGAGGAGTGTTCCTCTTTCTCCACATCCTCATCAACATGTGCTGTCACCTTAGTTTTTGATCTAAGCCATTCTGACTTGTGTGAGGTAGAATCTCAGGGATGTTTTGATTTGCATTTCCTTGATGACTAAGGATTTTGAACATTTTTTTAAGTGCATCTTGGCCATTCAAGATTTCTCTGTTGTGAATTCTCTGTTTAGCTCTATATCTCATCTTATGATTGGTTTATTTTTTTGTTTTTGGAGGTTAGCTTCTTGAGTTTCTTATATATTTTGCATATTGGCCCTCTATCAGATGTCGAGTTAAAGATTTTTTTTTCACAATCTGTAGGTTGTTGATTTGTCCTATTGTCTGTGTCCTTTGCCTTACAGAAGCATTTCAGTTTCATGAGGTCCCATTTATCAATTCTTGATCTTAGAGCTTGGGCCATTAGAGTTCTGTTTAGAAAATTCTGCCCCTCCCCCACCGTGATGCCAATTAGTTTGAGGCTCTTTCCTACTTTCTCTTCTATTAGACTCAATATTAGACTCAGGTTTTATGTTGAGGTCCTTGATCCAAATTGGACTTGAGCTTTGTGCAAGGTGAAAAATATGGACCTATTTTTATTTTTCTACATAAACACTGCCAGTTAGACCAGCACCATTTATTGAAGATGCTTCCTTTTATCCATTGCATATTTTTGGCCTCTTTGTCAAAGATCAAGTGTCCATAAGTATATGAGTTTATTTATAGGTCTTCAAATTTATTACATTGTTCGACCTGTCTGTTTCTGTACCAATACCATGCAGTTTTTATCACTATTGCTTTGTAGTACAGCTTGAGGTTAGAGATGGTGATTCTGCTAGAGGTCCTTTTATTATTAAGAATCATTTTTACTATCCTTAGTTTTTTTGATTTTCGATATGAAATTGAGAATTGCTCTTTCCATGTCAGTGAAAAATTGTGTTGGAATTTTCATGAGAATTGTGTTGAATCTGTAGAATGGCCATTTTTACTATGTTAATCCTACCAGTCCATGAGCATGGGAGATCATTTTCTGATGTCTTCTTTTATTTCTTTCTTGAGAATTTGAAGTTCTTGTCTCCTGGCACTTGTTTGATTATTATTACACCAAGATATTTTACATTATTTATGACTATAGTGAAGGGTGTTGTTTTCCTATTTTCTTTCTCCGTCCTCTCATCATATGTATAATGGAAGGCAACTGATTTGCTTGAATTCATTTTATAGCTGGCTACTTTGCTGAAGTTGTTTATCAGCTGTAGAAGTTCTAAGGTAGGAAGGATATTTGGGGTCACTTATATATACCATCATATCATATACAAAGAGTTATACCTTGAATTCTTTTTTGCTGATTTTGCATCCCCCTGCTCTTCTTTTCCTGCCTTATTGCTCTAGCAAGAACTTCAAGTACTATATTGAATAGATATGAGGAGAGTATGCATCCTTTTCTTGTCCCTGACTTCAGTGAGATTGTTTCAAGTATCTCTCCATTTAATTTGATATTGGCTGTTGGTTTGTTGTATACTGCTTTTATTATGTTTAAGTATGGATCTTGAATTCCTGATCTCTTCAATAATTTTAATATGAAAGGGTGTTGTATTTTGTCAAATGGTTTTCAGCCACTAATAAGATTCTTTTCTGAGTTTGTTTATATAGTCAATTATGTTGATGGATTTCCATATATTGAACCATCCTTGCATACCTGGGATGAACTCTACTTGACCATGTGAAGTTTGGTTTTGATCAGTTCATGGATTCGATTTGCTAGAAATTTATCCAGCACTTTTGCATCAATATTCATAAGCAAAACTGCTCTGAAGTTCTTTTTCTTTGTTGGGTCTTTGTGTGATTTAGGTATCAGAGTAATTGTGACTTCAAAGAATGAATTAGGTAATGTCCCTCCTGTTTCTATTTTATGGAATATTTTGAGTAGGGTTGGTATTAGCTTTTCTTTGAAGGTTTGGTAGAATTCTGTGCTGTAGCCATCTGGGCCTTTGGTTGGTTGGGCTTTATATTGGTTTGGAAGTTTTTAATGGCTTCTATTTTCTCAGGGGATAGGAGGCTGTTTAGACGGTTTACATGCTGTTGATTTAACTTTGGTATGAGGTATTTGTCTAGAAAAACATCCATTTCATGTTGATTTTTCCAGTTTTTTTTTGAGTATATGCTTTTGTAGTTGGATCTGATGATTTTTTGAATTTCCTCAGTTTCTGTTCTTAGCTCTCATTTTCATATCTGATTTTGTTAATTTGGATACCATCTCTGTGCCTGAAGTTAGTTAGTTTAGGAGTTTTTGTATCTTGCTGATTTTCTAAAAAACAAACAAACAAACAAACAAACAAAACCCCAAAAAACAGCTTTTGGTTTTGTTGATTTTTTGTGTCATTCCTTTTGTTTCTATTTGTTTATTTTGGCCTCGAATTTGGCTATTTCCTGCCATTGACTCCTCTTGGGTGTGTTTGCTTCTTTTTATTCTAGGACTTTCAGGTATGCTATTAAGTTGTCCATGTAGGATCTTGCCAGTTTCTCTACCAGGGCACTTAGTGCTATGAATTTTCCTCTTAGCATTGCTTTCATTGTGTCCCATAAGTTTGAGTATGCTGTGTGTCTTAGTTAGGATTTTACTACTTGAACAGACACCATGACGAAGGCAACTCTTAAAAGGACAACATCTAATTGAGGCTGACTTACAGGTTCAGAGGTTCAGTCCATTATTGTCAAGGCAAGAGCATAGCAGCATCCAGGCATGCATGCTTCAGGAGGAGCTGAGAGTACTATGTCTTCATCTTAAGGCTCCTAGTGGAAGAATGACTTCCAGGCAGCTAAGGCAAGGGTATTAAAGCCCATGCCCACAGTGACACACATACTCTAACAAGTCCATACCTCCTAATAGTGCTACTTCCTGGCACAAGCCAAACACTGTGCCTTTATTTTCATTGAATTCTTGAAAGTCTTTTGTTTCTTTATTTCTTTCCTGACTAATTTATTATTGAGTAGAGGGTTGGTCAGTTTCCATAGGTATGTGGGCTTTTTGTTGTTATTTTTGTTTTGTTTTTTTGTTTTTTGCTTTTTGTTTTTGTTTTTTTTTTTTTTGCTATTGAAGTCCACCCTTAGTCTGTGGTGATCTGATAGAATACAAGGGATTCTTATATCTTTTTTATTGGATATTTTATTTACATTTCAGATGTTTTCCCCTTACCCCATAACCCCCAACCCCCTGCCCAGGAACCCCCTATCCCATCCCCCCTCTTCCTGCTTCTGTGAGGATGTGCACCCACCCACCTCTCCACTCCCACCTCCCCACCCTAGAATTCCCCCACACTTGGTGTCCAGCCTTCATGGGACCAAGGATCTCCTCTCCCACCTATGCCTGACAAGGCCATCCTCCCCTACATATATAGCTGGAGCCATGGGTCCCTCCCTATGTGCTCCCAGGCTGGTGGTTTAGACCCTGGGAACTCTGGTTTGTTGGTATTGTTGCTCTCCTCATCAGGCCTTTCAGCTCCTTCAGTCTTCTCTCTAACTCCTCCATTGGGAACCCGTGATCAGTTCAATGGTTAACTGTGAGCATCCGCCTCTGAATATGTCAGACTCTGGCAGACTTCTAAGGAGACATCTATATCAGGCTCTTGTCAGCATGCACTTCCTGACAACCACATCAGTGTCTACCTTTGGTGACTGCACATGGGATGGAAGGATTCTTATATCTTTTGAGGCTTCTTTTGTGTCCAATTATATGGTGAGTTTTCTAGATGGTTCCATAAGTTGCTAGGAAAAAGGTGTATTTTTCATTTTAGGGTGAAATGTTGTTTCTTGGGACCATTTGATTTAAAAAAATTTTTTCCAGCCTTTTACTCTGAGGTAGTGTGGGTCTTTGTCACTGAGGTATGTTTCCTGCATGCAGCAAAATGCTAGGTCCTGTTTACATATCCAGTTTGTTAGCCTATGTCTTTTTATTGGGGGAATTGAGTCCATTGATGTTGAGATATATTAAAGACCAGTAATTGCTAGTTCCTATTATTTTTGTTGTTGGAGATGGTATTATATGTATGTGATTCTCTTCTTTTGGGTTTGTTGTGAGATGATTAATTTCTTGTGTTTTCTTGGGTGTAGTTAACCTCTTTGTGTTGAAATTTTCCTTCTAGTGTCTTCTGTAGGGCTGGATCAGTAGAAAGATATTGTTTCAATTTGGTTTTGTCATGGAATATCTTGGTTTCTCCATCTATGGTAATTGAGAGTTTTGCTGGGTATAGTAGCTGGCATTTGTGTTCTCTTAGGTCTACATGACATCTGTCCAGGACCTTCTGGCTTTCAGAGTCTTTGTTGAGAAGCCTGGTGTAATTCTGATAGGTTTGCCTCTATATGTTATTTGGCTTTTCCCTCTAGCTACCCTTAATATTCTTCTTTCTTTTTTTTTGTGTTTAGTGGTTTGATTATTATGTGACAGGAGGATTTTCTTTTCTGGTCTAGTGTATTTGTAGGGCTCTTGTATGTTTATAGCCATCTCTTTCTTTAGGTCATGGAAGTTGTCTTCTTTGATTTTTGTTGAAGATGTTTTCTGGTCCTTTGAACTGGGAATGTTCACTCTCTTTGATTCCTATTATTCTTACATTTGGTCTTTTCATTGTATCCTGAATTTCCTGGATGTTTTGGGTTAGGAGCTTTTTATATTTTGTACTTTCTTTGACCTATGTGCCAAGATCTTCCATGGTATCTTCTGTGCCTGAAATTCTCTCTTTATTCTTTTATTCTGTTCGTGATATAACAAATACAATTATTTGCAGCTTCTGATTTCTTTCCTGGGTTTTCCATCTCCAGAGTTGCCTCCATTTGTGATTTTCTTATTGTTTCTATTTCCATTTCTAGGTCTTGCACCATTTTGTTCAATTTCTTCAAGTGCTTTATTGTGTTTTCTTATATTTCTTGAAGATATTTTTATGTTTTCTGTTTAAGGGCTTCTACCTGTTTGCCTGTGCTTACCTGTATTTCTTTAAGGGAGTCATTTATTCTCCTTAAAGGCCTGTATTATTTTCATGAGATGGGATTTTATGTCAGAATCTTGCTTTCCATGTACATTAGGATGTCCAGGGCTTGCTGTGGTGAGAGAACTGGGTTCTGATGGTGCTAAGTGGCATTAGTTTTTGTTGCTTATGCTCTTGCCCTTGCCTTTTGCCACCTGGTTATCTCTGGTACTAACTCCCAGGGTATCTCTGACTGGAGCCTGCCTCCTTGGAGGCAGGTAGATCTCTGTGACTTGGGTTAGAGCAAGCCTTCTGGGAGGCAGACAGTGATATCTCTTGTAAGGGTCAGGGGCTCCTGTGTCCCTGATTAGAATAGTCCTCCTGTGTCCTTTGTTTGAGCAGTCCTCCTGTGTCTCTGGTTAATGTGATCCTCCTGGGAGACAAGCAGTGTTTAGGGTCTGGTGTCAGGTTCTTCCCTAGTTGAAGACTGGAAAGAAAATGGAGGTCAGGTAGAGAGGATAGATTCCATGTCAGCTGGACTCTAAGGGCATCCCAGCTGGTGTGGTTGTTTAGGCGGTGGTCTCACCTGTGTCCCTGGTTATAGCAGACTTCCTGGGAGACAGGCAGGCTGTAGGAGTTGGGAGAGGAGCAGGCCTGCCAATCTGCCCTCTGTGACAGTGCAGATCAGAAGGATGATGGGGCTTGGGCAGAGGGGATAGTTCCCTTGTCTGCTGGGCTCTGTGACGATCCCAGCTGGTTGGATATTTAGGCCAGTATCTCACCTGTGTCCCTAGTTATTGTAGACCTTCTGGGAGACAGGCAAGCTGTGGGGTGTGGGGGAGGGGCAAGCATGCTGATCTTCCCTGGTGGAAGACTAGGGGGTATTCTTCTACTCCTTGATCCTTTGTCTTCTCATCTCTGTGTGACAAGAAAAAAAAATTAGTTAAACTATCAGAGTGTACTTCCGCAATGTACAATTATCATATATTAATCTGAAAATTGAGAAATATTTAAGGGTCTATAAAGATGAAGTAGGATTTGATTATTGTGTATTTGTATATGTGCATCATATTGAACCCTATAATTTTGCATCATTAAAATTATTTTAGAAGATCTTATAAAAAAAATCCTATAACAGAAAAGAATTGCTCAATAAAGGTTGAAGGCTGTATCTCTCTTTCCTCTTAGGATTTCATCACCGGAATCCTGGACAAGGCTGCTGCTTATTTTATAGGACTTTCAGATCCAGGTCATCGACAATGGCAATGGATTGATCAGATGCCATACAATGAGAGTGCCACGTGAGTGTAGACTTACAAGAGGAGTTCTTGGTTCTGAATCATGAGAAGAATTTAGGGTATTCCAGCTGTTGGTTATAAAACTAAACTATCACCCTCCTAGTGTAACTGCTGGGGATGAAGTAACTTTTACTTTCCCATTTATTCATCACCCAACTCTTCTGGGGCACACATTATTGATATTTCCAGTTGAGATGAGGGAATTGAGTTTGAAGAGTATAGAATGATAAGCACCCAACCAAGGTCTTTACACATAGATTTTTTTTATCATGCTTTTAGTCTCCCATCTACATCTTTAAAAATAGGATTTAATTCATTTTTATTTGTATCTCTGTGAGTGTCTGCCATATGCATATGGGTAGCTCATAAACAGTTGTTGTAACTCTTAGAACTGGTGTTCCAGGTATATAACCTTACTAATATGGATTCTGGGAACAGAACTCTCATGTTTTCTAGAAAAGCAGCAATCACCCTTAATGTCTGAGCCAGCTCTGGAGTTCCTTTATTTTATTTTTTAATTGGGTTTTAAATTTATTTACATTTCAAATATTATCCCCTTTCCCAGTTTCTCTTCTGCAAACCTCCTATCCCATTCTTTCTTACCCTGCTTCTATGAGGGTGTTCCTCCACCCACCCACCCACTCTCCCCTCTCCACCCTGACATTCCCCTATACTGGAGCATCAAGCCTTCACAGGACCAAGGGCCTCCCTTCCCATTGATGCCAGATAAGGCCCCTTCAGCTCCTTCAGTCCTTCCCCAAGCTCCTCCATTGGAGCCACTGTGCTCAGTCCGATGGTTGGCTGTGAGTATCCACATCTGTACCGGTCAGGATCTGGCAGAGCCTCTCAGAAGACAGCTTTATCAGGCTCCTGTCAGCAAGCACTTCTTGGCATTCCCAATAGTGTCTGGGTTTGGTGTCTGCATGAGGGATGGATCTCCAGGTGGGGCAGTCTCTGGATGGCTTTTCTCTGCTCCACTCTTTGTCTCTGTATTTCCTTTAGACAGGAGCAATTCTGCATTAAAATTTTGGAGATGGGGAGGCCCATTCTTCAACAGGGGGGGGCATGCCTAAGCTCTGTATATGGATTTGATAGGTTCTCCCTCCCCTTTGTGAGGTATTTCACCTAGTGTCATCCCTGTTGTGTCCTGGGAGGATCTTATGTTCCTGGCATCTGGGACTTTCTGGTTGCTACCCCCAGGTCCACATCCCCCATTGCTACACACTTCTGTGCAAATTCATGACCCTCTGTACATCTCCTCCATCTCCTCCCATACTTCATTCTTCCCCTCTTTTTCCCCTCCACCTCTTCTCTTCCTCTCAACAATCTCCCACCCTCTGCTTCCCTTGATTATTTTGTTTCCCCTTCTAGGTAGGTCTGATGAATTCACTCTTTAATCTTCCTTCCTCTTGAGCTTCATCAGGTCTATGAGTTGTATCTTGGGTATTCCACACACTTTGCCTAATATCCACTTATCAGTGAGTACATACCATGCTTGTTCTTTTGTGACTGAGTTATCTCACTCAGGATGATATTTTTTTAGATCCATCCATTTGTTTGTGAATTTCATGAAGTCATCGTTTTTAATAGCTGAGTAGTATTCCATTGTGTAAATGTACTACATTTTCTGTATCCATTCCTCTGTTTAGAGACATCTGGGTTGTTTCTAGTTTCTGGATATTATAAATATGGCTGCTATGAACATAGTGGAGCATGTGTTCTTATTCCATATTGGAGCATCTTCTGGGTATATACCTAGGAGTAGTATAGCTGGATCCTTAGGTAGTAGCATTTTCAATTTACAGAGGAGCCTCCAGTTTGATTTCCAGAGTGGTTGTACCAGCTTGCAATCTCACCAGCAGTGGGAGAGTGTTTCTCTTTCTCCACATCCTTGCCAGCATCTACTATCACCTGAGTTTTTGATTTTAGCCATTCTGACTGGTGTGAGGTAGAATCTCAGGGTTGTTTTGATTTGCATTTCCCCGATGACTAAGGATGTTGAACATTTCTTTAGGTGCATCTTGGCCATTTGGGTTTCCAAAGTTGAGAATTTTCTGTTTAGCTCTGGTTCCCATTTTTTTTTCCTTTCACATTGGCTTATTTATTTTCACGATGCCACAAAGAAGTCCCAAATCTTTACAGTTCTTTACCTGCTTCTCATTTTTTAAAAAAGAAAAGCCCTAGAATATCAAATCGTGTTTAAAAAACTTTAACTGAATTATTTAAGTTATGACAATGATAGAATGTGCCAGTCAATCAAACTTCCAAATACTAAACCTCTAAAGTAAGAATGAACCATAACTGGATCTCACCCCATTTCACAGCTGTTCAGGCTGAGCAACTGTCACTAATTCAAGTGCACAGCCAATGCCACTCACATGCTGAAAGCATGTGTTCTGTACATTTGACACGCTGAGGTTAAAGCCATGTTTTACCCACTTTTTAATTAATGCAAAAAACCTTCCACAATGGCAACTGCATTGAAAACTCCAGTAAAATTAGCCAGCCACAATCTTCTGATTAATAGAGCACAGACATTTTGTAACTATACAATTTATAAGCAACTAATAAATTTTGAAATGTTAGTAATATAATAAAGTTATAAATAGTTTACCATCTCCTTTCCCTTATATATTTTTATATTCATGCATCTCATTTATCTTTCTAGTAGACTATTAAATTCTGGATTTAAATATGACTAAGCGTAAAATAAAACAGAGATGAGTGTGACTGTGTAAGCCAGTACAAGCTAGTAACTTGAAAACAAATTCAACCTAAGGCATACATGGAGAAGCTTGGATTTGACATTGGGTTCTTCATAGTCTGGCCTGTCAAGTACACATGAGCATCCATGGCTCAAATTATGGACGTCTATGCACCATAAAGCTAACTGCATCACAACAGAATGCCCATTACTTGAAGAAAGGCCCCTCCGATGTTAAACTTTGCAAGATGTGGAGTTTGAGGTGGTAGGCAACCATATTAGCAAGGTTTTAAGACCTAGTCAATATATACATATATATGGAACTTTCCATTTAAATTACATCTATCACCAAAAGAACCTAGGCTAGCAGTGCTACAATCCGGATCAAAAGGGTACTATTCCATCAGTTTTCTTCTGTTAATCACTAGACTATCTTCCTGTTATCTGAAGCTCACAGTAGATTCCACTTTAGGCTGTAAGAGGCATTGCCTGAATGCGCTCAATGGAGTCCAGTAGTCAAGCTGCTCTCAACATCTAAGAGTCTGGCGACATCAACATCAAGCCACCCACTGCATTTCCTCCCCTCAGGCTCCTAACGTCCACTCACGGGTCCAGGGTTACGTTTGGCTCTTCCACTTACTCCCTTTCTGTTGCCTCAGCTGCTATGTAACTGCTATTCAAAATCATGCTCTAATTCTATCATTCTTATTGTCTTTATCAACTCTTAAGTTTCTTTTTAGAACTCTGGAACAATATGAAAACATTAAAAATATTTTTAATTTTGTCTCTCAATTACAATAAAATTCTGAGATATGATGTTAAGATAATTCAATTACTAGACAAATGATCTTGGTTTACATAATACATACTTTGTAAAGAGGTTTCACTGAATTTTTCTTTAGTGAGGTGAGTTTCAACTGTTCTAAAAACAGTAAATTAGCTCATTACATGTGTGTGAATCTAAAGTATGTCCTTTACGAGATTATCTGTAAGTCAAAAACAAAAAAAATTAAGCAGATGGTTGTTAAAAATAATGTTAACAGATACACTGAGCAGTAAACTTTTTCATTTAACTTAACATCTGCTCGGTTTAAATTAGTTTAGTATAAAGGGCCCATTAATTAATTCATTAGATTGGTCAGGGCAAGACATTTGAACTACACAATAGGATTTTTAAAGCAGTTAGTTTTGCTGTTCTTGATAATC